TCGTCTGCAAATTCCCTTATTTTATTATCCATTACATTATCTCAAAACAATTACGTAGAAAATTGTGACAATATTCTACTACTTAAGGTTTATACATATATGAATTATAAACAAAACGAAGCTCTAAGCCAAAATAACTCAACGTTTTTTTAAGTCATAAAACAAGTATTCATCTGTTGCTCTTTTCTTTTTAGAAGCTGAGCGAGAAAGGGACATAAATATTCATTTTTAAAAATTAAAATTTAACATTTTGTTGATCAAAATATCGCCTTTCGATTTATTTACTAACAATAAACATAGTATTCAATAATACAGAACAAATAACATGGAGGACATACGCAGTTACTCACACCCGAATAATAAAATGCTACTCAATTTTAAGTTGTTCTCACTTAAACCGTTCGTCGGCTTGTATTCATCATCAACAGCCTATAAATGCCCACTGCTGAGCAAAGCCTCTTCTCACACGGAGAAGGCTTGAGCATTAATCACCACGCTTGCTCAATACGGATTGGCGATTACAATCTTATAATTAGAAATTACATGCTCAGGTTTCCTCACGATGTTTTCCTTCACCGTTTGTCAGTGGTGTCTAGATAATCTCAGAAAGTACATATACTTAACTCGTAAAAAGTCACATTGGTACTTGCCGTTGGTAGGTTTCGAACCCGCACCCTCATGCATGAGAAGCGGGCGTCTTAAACCTCCGGGCCACCACGACCTCCTCCGGGCCACCACGACCGGCTTGTATTGCACTTAGCGTATAGCACTTAGCTATATGCCGCAGTCATTTGGTTCACTCAGCTATTGAATTACTAAAGAACAACTCGTCAAGTCGTTAAATGAAATTCAACGTTTTGACTGGACGTTTGCAAACTCGCTGACGCCGATCATGAGTTCGGAAGAGCTCTCCTTTCGAAGACAAAGTAAAAACAACCAAATGACTGCGACATGTATAAAACTCAACGTATAGTCTTCGTAGACAGTAACATTAGTTTTTAAAAAAAATCTCAGTAGTAGCACGGCGTCTGAAATTGTGTCCGATATAGGGCAATAGGCTCACACCCTATTACATGGGACTCAACATAAATAGTGAAAAGTGGGTGTTACATTGTACAGTGGCATTAAGTGCCGTAATGTGCACCTCTGCGTACCCCTTCGGGGATAAAAGGCGTGCTGTTATCTTATGTTATGTTCTTCCAAGACAAATGAGCTATCCCATTCATATACTCTTCAGCTTTCTAATCAAGTTGTAGAATAGTACATAAATATAACTGTAGAACGTCTTAGAATTAAGTGCCGTTTGAGTATTCCCACAAAGCTGAATCACATAATTTCTAACTAAATTAGTATTAATACTAATGGAATAATACACACAGAAACAATATCATTATTATAATACAAGTCAACAAGATAAAACTAAATTAAATATCAATTTCAAAATCTGCTTTCTGAAAAGCAAGTCAATTTGATCTTTACCCGCAATGGAAATTGAACTTAAGGCTTGTAGAAAGTGGCGCTAATGTAGTGTAAAGTCATTGAGTCATTAAGTGATTGAGCGACCGTACTCACCGCTACTACTACCACGGAACGTGTAGCAGGTTTGATTTCCGAACGTAAGTAATAATCGTCTTAGACAACAAGGTATAGTTTTGTAACCGTGGCATTTCTCGGGGGCATGTCACAGAAGTCATAAAGGTTCCATGTAAGACAAAGTTTCGGGCCAAGAGTTAAAAATACGACTATAATAAATCGTTTGAGTTCGACAGTACTTCAGAATAAGCGACAGCAATGTTTCTTATTAGAGTTTTATGGAATTAGGAATAATATCAATTACGTGTTTGGGTTTGTGTATGTAGAGCCGCGTTATAAAGCTAGTTACAAGACGGCGGCGTGTAGTTCGCACTTACGGATTTCCGTAATTTACAGAAAAATGAATAATATTTACTTACAATTACTTTTATTGATTCGGACTCAGAATCGACATCCGAGTTACCTCCTACAAAATGACGAGGCTTTAAAACAACACCATATATACTTAATTCAAAAATACTTAAATGATAGTTGTCCTGATTGTACAGTATATAATACTAGCTACTTCCGCGGGGTTTCACACGCTCTGCTCAGCTCCTATTGGTCATAGCGTGATGTTTTATAGCCTATAACCATCCTCGATAAGTGCGCTATCCAACACAAAAAGAATTATTCAAATCAGACAAAACAATTACTTATTAATAAGGCATATTACAATGTAAACAATTATCTTAATGACAAATTCAGTTGAGTTTTGGGTTTGCTTAGTGTTTATGACTCAATGATATTAATTCTTTTATGATAATAATTACTTAATTTTATCGTCTTGGACTACTTGTGACATCTACCTATATTTTCTTATGACTAATTTAAATAATATAATAAATGATAAATTGTAATTGTAATTAATATTTTCTTATGACTAATTTAAACAATGTAATTAATAAATAAATAATAAATTGTAATTGTAATTAATATTTTCTTATGAATAATTCAAATAATGTAAGTAATAAATAATAAATTGTAATTTTCACAAATAAGTATTGCATGCTAATTGGCAGAATGTAGCTGATCAAATTATTTTATAATACCTACTGTAACATCTACACTTGACCTATATTCGCAATAAATGATTTGAATTTGAATTTGAATTTGAATTTGAAATTCAGACTTGTAGTTACGGAGATTAGCGCGTTCAAACGAACAAAGTCCGGCACACACCCCCGTCGTCCCCACGGCGGGGGAAGTCCATGAGGATTTCCATCACGTTATAAAAAAATATATAAGCTATAAAAAATTTGACTTTACGACTTACTAGCGGCCACATGATAAAAGCCAAATCGAAGTTTCCATTAGTTATCTAAATGGATCTCCTTTTCAAAAATTGTTAACAGATTGTCTACTGGTACAAACACAAGCTTAGAACTATAAATTAAAAAAAGACGCGTCGATAATTGACTTATTCATTAACTAACCAATTACTTATAACGCTACAGCTATTCACAAATAAATTAATAATTATATTGTATTTAACAATGGAGGATGAATGTCTAACCGCAAAGTGAGGAATTTGAGTACTTGCCTTAATCAAAAATAAATTGTTTCGACTGTTCAATAAAATAAAATGTGACAAAATAATTACACATTCATTAATTGATTTTACGACCAACGTAATTCTAGTATTTTACCAGCAAATTTTTAAGGCATAATTATGCTGTTTGACTCTAAAAAATGTGACGTCACAATACAGAATCTCGTACAAAATTCATAGAAAACTGTAGTTTTTGACAGTTTGAAAAAATATTGAATTTGACTAGTTGGCAAGTACCCATTTCTTACTCATTAGATGGCGGTTATCATTGTAGCTGTCAAAAAATGTCCAATGCAAGGACGTTAAAAAAAAAGGCGGACGTAATGTCACTTAGAAATGATTGAAGCAAAAAAATATCAGTGGTGTATTTATGTGTGCGTGTACTTGCAACACCATAACGTATGAAGTGTAATGACCGGCCAAGGCACACCACAGATGTCCTTCGTGTCAATGTGTGTGTATTCTACGCGTAAGTCTAGAGTAGCCGGGTGCCACAGTCGTTGTTTGAAGAGACTATGTCCGCTTTTTTTCAACGTCCTTGATCCAATTGTTTAACCTTAGCCAATTCCCTATTAGGCTAACGGTCTTCACGCTATATTCCAGTCATTTGAGGAACAAAAACGTGTAGCCTACATCAAAAGTAGGATAAAGCATGTACTACACCGCATAGATAAATTTGTACCATGAAATAAATATTTGTCACTGAATATTTCAAATGCATTCCGTCTAATATTATAGGCCTGTTTCTTCATCATAAATAAGGACAGTTTTATTTATGTATAACGGTCATTATCACCTTGTTTATGTCCAATGGACACAGACCTCGCTACTGAACTCGACCTTCAGCTCTTCATATAGTGGTACTATTAGTATTACTTATGCCCAGGCCACTCCAACGAGAAATACCATTGCTTATCACGATAATGCACGTTCACCGTAGGTGTAGCGAGTCAACGCGATAATTTGACAACGGCATTCACATTGCCCTTTGGCATGTAGGGCATTCACGTTGAAATTTCAAGTGTAGCCACCCACTTTATCGCGTTAAAATTATCTTAGTAAACATCGCTATAATCGGCATTGACCTTGACGTTTGTGTGGCCCGAGCATTAGAAACTGATGAAAAAACAGGCCAAAACTTCGTCAATGTAGTTACTATTCACATAAGACAATTAATGTTCACTGTTCTATAATGTCACATTCAATTTGCAGTTTCAAGTTCCAATCCTCCTCACGCCCCGTCCACACGCTTGATGGTTGCCACAAATACTAAACACAAAATATAAAGTCCCAAACATCGTTGTGTAGCAGGCGTGTGGATTCATCACTAACTGTTTGCCGAACAGCCTTTGATCGGTGATCTTTGTGTTCGCCACTGTTCGGTATCAGTGTCGAACAATGACGAACACAAACAAGACCATACACACAACATACAAACACCCATCCACATACGTACAAGTACGTACACAAACCACTTTCACACAACTAGTATCCGATCTCTTATAAACATAACCAACAGAGCATTATTTAGTAATTTCATACATAAATATTAATCACCGCTTATCTCTCACTAGCTTACTCATCACATTGTTATCCAAAGACATTGCCAATGAAAAATGAATAAATACAATTTAAACGTCAAACTAATGGCGGCAAAAAGTTGACAAATGTCAACGTAATTTTTTTTTTCTTTTCGGCTAAGTCCTTTTACTATTATTAAGGATTAATAAGCCTTCTTTCGTAGTTTCGATTTCAGAATTTGAATTACAATTTCACATTCTCGACATTACTGTTCTCTTCGTTCCTATCCTGTGTGGATAAGTTTCCGTCACTAGGGCACTTGGCTGCAGACTGTCGGGATGTGAACTGGTGACCCTCACTGAGCCTTTGGTTTGTGATGTGATGTGTCGCAGGCAAATACAAATGAGAACTCCGCTTTCTTCTGCGCGTATTCTATAAAGTCATCTGGAATAACAATAATTAAGAATTATGCAAAATTTATTTTATTATTATTACGGGTCAGTGCTCACGGCAATTGATTTTTTTACATATCAAGTTATATTGATTCTCATTTCAAGAAATTTAGAATTCATATTCTTTTAGTTCGGCACCGCAATACCGCGACGCGGATCCGGCATGCCGATTCATTCTACGCGTAGCTACAGCACGCCATTAAATCTCCGGTGACGTACGAGTCACTTTGTGTCATGGCATTATGATTGCTAAAGTAGTTGAAATAAAGTTGTAACATTTGCGGTCATAGCAGAATAACTGGAACTTATTCACTTATTGGTTTCCCTAGCTAACGTCAAGGCTATGAACCAAATTACTAGTTTAAACTAATCAAGCTCATAGAAAAATCAATGCTTTGTTTTGTCGTGACCAAATTAAGTGACTATATTTAAGTGACATCGCCGATTTTCTTGTTCGTTCGATTAATACCATTTTTGGTGTAGGAATGTAGACCAGGAACATAGATGAGTTCTCCAGCTTACCGTAGGTGAGGTATCCGTCCTCGTCCAGGTCTGCCTGGCGGAAGGTGTTGCAGGCGTCTTCCTGACAGAGCCCGAGGCAGCGCGTGGCGAGCTCCTCGAAGCCGGCCGCGTTGACCCGGCCGCCGCCACCGCTCGCGTACAACTACACGACACATCGACAGCTATTGAGAGGATGTTGCCATAATAGCCATGCACCACACAGCTTACACAGACCCATCGATAATTTTATGGACTTGTAGTAAGGTATGTTGCAATGCCGACTGCGAAAATTTTACGACACTTTCATTGTGCGTTAATTTTTCGTAGTGCGCTTTAGCCTAAATGAGAAATACGGAGCCGCGGAGGAATACGGAGCCGCGGAGGACTTAACGGGTTACCGGGGCTCCGGCTCGAAGTAGGAACGGGGTGGTTTTAGTCAGTAAGAGTCTGACATTTTCTCTCGCCTCACCCGGGCGGGAGAAGTCATTCGATGATTTCCTCCGCTCAATAAAAAGTCTAAATGAGAAAGCTGTAGTTACCTTGAAGGCTATAGCCAGGAGTTGTGTAAGAGGCGCGTGTTGCAGGGCGAGGAAGGCGGCGCTCAGCAAGTAGTCCGGGAAGTACAGCAACCCACTCGAGCGCTGCAAACAGAACCATACTCAACTCAATTACATGCTAATATAATTCTGTCTTTGACTGTCAATAGAACATTCTTCTGATTTATTTCGTTGCGGTATCCACTACAGTTATTGATGTCCGTGGGACGCGTTCAACTTTAATGTTTCGATGTTTTCATGGTTGTATTTACTATAGTTGCAGCGGTTTTGGGAACTTGTGCCCATAGAAAACTACTGAAGGCAAATCCCTAAGACCGTCCCCTGATACCCATGGCTTTTATCGTGTTAAAAACCTGTATGTCTTTAATCTTTATTCATCAGCTGGAAAATGTCCGTTACCTTTTTAGCTATAATAATCCCACGCCTGGCAAACTACTTGCGGGTCGTGGTTAGATCAGTGATAGACAATGCTCGTTGGCTGATCGCAATCTTAAGACCTCAAGTCTTGTTTTAGCTTTAACGTACTACCTAAGACGTATCTATTCCCAATCTTCAAATCCGTAACACTCAACTCAGAAGAATGACAACGCACATATCTGGTGTTGCGAGTGGTTGCGCTGATTGCTTTCCATCAAGTGATCCTACTCACTTGCCGCCCCATACAACAAATAATTCTTTTATTTATACTACGTTCACAAAACCGATATCAACCCCTTCTTTTTTGCGATCAGTTTATTAATATACTGAAACTTTCTTCTAAGTAACAATCGCTTATCTGATCCGCATCAAAATCAGTACAGCCAATCGCGAGACATACATACAAGTCAAACTGAGAACCTCCTTCTTTATTGAAGTCGGTTAAAAAGTACTTTAGATTGTATCGGTTAATGGCATAACAGAAGAAAGAAAGTTTAAAGCCTTTTGTAGTTACCTGCATGAATATGTCGAAGAGTCGCTGCGTGCGCGCAGACAGTGGTACCCCGAGCCGTTGCGCGAACTCGTCGGGCCCCAGCCACCGCCGCACCGTGCCGCCGCCCGCCAGCCCGCCGCGGGCCACGTGCAGGTCTAGACCTGACCGCTCCAAACTGTAACAGGATAATATATAAAAATACTACATTCTGCCAGTAGTCTCGCCCGCGGTCCAATCTACAGCTGTTCTAAATTACATCTCAATTCCTTCAGACTTTTTGGCGTGATAGAGTAACAAACATACACACAAACATACTAACACGCAAACTGACAAACTTTCGCATTTATAATATTTGAATGATGTTTTTATGAATAGGAGGCAAACGAGCAGGCGGATCACCTGATGGTAAGCGATCAGCGCCGCCCATAAACACCCGCAACACCAGAAAGGTAACAGATGAGTTGCCGGCCTTTTAAAAAGGAATACGCTCTTTTCTTGAAGGTTTGAAGGTCGCATCGGTTCAGAAATGCCGCCGAAGACATATCATTCCACAGTTTCGCTGTGCGAGCCAGAAAGCTACGTAAGAAGCGCACAGTTGTGGCCTGCCAACCATCTATACAGTGTGGATGCATACGCTGTATCGACTATAGACGTAAAGACTGACGAAGAATTCAATTTTGACGATTCAAAAGTGTTTAAGGGTTAATTTCTTTAAATAAATGCTTTGACTTTACCCAAGTTGTCCTCGGATCTCGCTGACTTCCCTGGCAGACGCTGCACAAGGTATGCCCAGCTGCTTCGCTCGAGCTATGAGCCGACAGTCATCGTACGTGTAGTCCAGGACTGGTACTCCTAATGCCCTAGAAATTATATAAAAAATATTAGGACGTTCTGTCTTATTAGGACGCCACGACGACACGTGGCATCGGCACCTACATATCCAAATTCAAGTGGGATCATTTAAAAATTGATTGACCTGCTGCATCTGCTTCTATCACACAGGTAATAAATAGTACCCGGGTGCATAGTAAACCGTGACCAACCATCATAAGATGACCGACCTTGCTTTCGGTAACCAGTTATCACCAAGTCGCTTCCTAAGCATGAGAATAATGGCTACAAAGTGGCTCGTATGCCTACTAAAACAGGTGAATGTATCTATATTCTTAGACATCTGTCTTACTTACTTAGCCATGACATCTCGGACATTTCTCGCATACAGTTTGGGGTCCCTTTTCTCCTCTTCGCTCGGATAATACACTGGTAGAAACTCAATTTCACACGAACTGTGCACTTGTGTTAAAGTCAACCACAACAGCTTTAGGCTGAAAGAGCAAAATAAAATAATGTCATATTGTTTAGATAGAAGAATGGAGATAGAAGATGGAGAATGGGTGTAGTTGAAATAAATACTTTTTGACTAATGATCATACTGAATGTCACCCGGCCTTTTTTTGAAAAGAGAAACGATGGAGTTTCTTGCTAATTCTTCTCCGTTCTAAACTACACTTTGGAACTGACTGATGGACTGAATAACTTAACTAAATGAACTTTGACTTGATTTAAAAACCTTATGCGAACAGCTAGGGAGTCGAATTACGTGCCAGAGTATATGGTTTCAGCAGGATACAAATTGAATATCTTCAAGTTCCGCGTGAATAGGTTCCTTATAACCAAGTATGGTGTTTTTATGGGATAAACCGGGAAACGAGCGGGCGGATCACCTGATGGTAAGCAATCGACGTCGCCCATGGACACCTGGAACACCAGAGGTGTTACAAGTGCTTTACCGACCTTTTGGGATTAGGAATTTGAGGATTGTTAGGGATTCAGGGATTGGGAATGGGGGGAAGGGTAATTGGGCCTCCGGTAACCTCAATCACATGACGAAACACAACACAAGCGTTGGTTCACATCGGTCTTCTGTGAGGCCGTGGTGTCATTCTGGTCGAGCTAGCCCATTCATGCCGAAGCACGGATCTGCCACACTTTTCTATTAAAAAAAATGCTGATGATAAGGACTTACGCTCCAGGGCCCTCCCAGGTCCAAGTGACTGTGTCTCTGGCGTTAGGGTACCTGATGGTGACTGGCTGTACAGGTACTCCTGGATAGAATCCACCCGGCTTGAACGTGATCAGGCACGAACGGTTCGTGCAGGTACCCTCAGGAAAGATAAGCACCTGGAATATAAATAAAATCCATAAAGAATAATACTATTCATATCAGTCTCAGCTTTGAATTTTATATTAGGCAAAGCTGTGTTGAGTATTTTTGATCATTAGCACTACACTTAATAATAACACTTTTATGGCAAGCCCCCTAGACCTAAAATTTCTAAACTGATGCAAAATAAATTATTTTACTTTCTTTCTTCTTGATCATTAGGTGTGTTAGGTACACATGTCCTTTATATGAACAATTTACGTAAAAATAATTAAAAATACGCAGGTAAATATTGAGATAAATACTAGTTTCAAGTCAACATATAACTCTTCCTCGTGAGCACCGTGCGTGCACGACGTCGCGCTATTGCGGACTATTGTCCGCGTTATATTTACGCAAGTAAATCGGGTCATTAATTGAAGAGCATCCTTACTTATATCCTTATCCTTTACCTCCTTACTTATATTATAAATCGGAAAGTGAGTTTGTTTGTTTGTTTGTTCCGCCTTCACGCCGTAACTACTAGACCGATTGCTTTGAAATTTTGCAGACGTAAAGTTAGAAGTCCGGATTAAATAATAGGGTACTTTTTATCCCGAAAAAAAAATGATATTTCCTAGGAAAAACAAAAATATTGGTATAGATGGCGCTGTATGTACTGGTATAGATGGCGTTGTATGTCATTTAAAACCAGTCAACAAATTACCTACTTATTGGAAAAATCTAAATAGCGCGATATAACCGAATTCCACGCGAGCGAAAAGCTATTTGTTTGTTTGACTGTCTTAAGTGGCAGAACGGAGGTACTAATTAACGTGATTTTTTAACTGAAGGTAGTTGAACGGATGGATACATAGGCTACTTTTTATCCTTTTGTGACGCGAGCGAAGCCGCGGGTAAAAGCTAGTAGTAAATAAATTATTATATATTTTCGGCTTACTTACGTAATTATTTGACGGGGAACTCGACATTTGTTCACACTTGCAATTGTTTGTTACCTAGGCTACTTAAATGTGTACAGGTACGAGCACGCGCAAATTAATATTATTATTTTGTTTATTTGATTTTCTTTTTGGATATTCAAAATTCTCTAATTATCGTATTATTATTGTGTTACACTGTGATGTTTTCTGTTCTGATCTCTATTCTTTTTATTTATGTACACACATTCAACACAGAGGACAATACATATATAAAAACAGAGTACATAGGCCCCACTTATTCCAACTGAAATTTCTTCCTGTGGGCCTGTGGCAGGAAAAGATATAAAAACACCGAGACACATAGTGTGTTACACAAACAAGATAAATATCATTAAAAAAAAGTTTTAGTTTATTATTTGTATTTTGTTTATCTTCAGATGTATTTTTATTTTTTTATAATCTTTGTTTTGTGTGCTAATTTTCAAATAAATGTTTTTTCTTTCTTTCTTTCAGTATAGCATTTATAAATAAAACCACATAAGTCGACTTCATTTATTGACGTTATGCAAAGTTCGGTTCCTGACCTATTAATTAAACTTTCAAACACCAAGCGGTCACCGGTGACCGCGACCTATTGTTCTTTAATTGTGTCTATAAAACCGGTACTCGACGAGTAAATTTGATTGACCACCTGCTAAGCGCTATTGTAGGGGTTATGGCTTCTCCACTCTTTAGGGGAAAGGCCTTTAGCCTTGCCTTCAGCAGCTTACATAAGTATTTATTTAATTTTGTTTAACAAACTTACAATTTCATCTTAGTTAACTACCTCTATTTTACCAAACTGCATCACAGTTTATTGGCCAATTCTAAGCATTTGTTTAATATAAATGTCTAAGTCGAGTCATATAATTATCACTTAACCCAATTGTTTGTTAGTAATTGTTTTCAGAACAAAAGCGTGGGAGAGCCATGCTTCGGCACGAGTGATACCACGGCCTCACATAAAAACGACGTGAAGCAACGATTGCGTTGTGTTTCGTCGTGTGAGTGAGGTTACCGGAGCGGAGGCGCAATTACCACGCCCCCAATCCCTGAATCTCCAGAAATCCTCAAATTCCTAATTCAAAAGGCCGGAAACGCACTTGTAACGCCTCTGGTGGTGGTGACGCCAATTGCTTACCATGAGGTGGTCCGTCTACTCGTTTACCGGTTTATCCCATAAAAAAACATTACCAAGGATACTATTAAATAGTTTAACACTACATGTCTCTCAATACGGCAGTAAGAGAATCACCTAACTTCATGTAAAAATATTCAAGTACATGTAAAAGTGCTATTTTGTGGCGTATTTAACAAATAAATATCTTTTCATTGACGCGATGACGCGTGTACATAATTTTCTTTACATAAAATTTAAGTAAGAGAGAGTCATACGTAGGTATAAATGGGCCGGCTCTACCGGAGTGATACCACGACCGAGCAGAAAACCGAAGTCTACCAACTTATCGCATAAAAAAAAATACAGAAAAAACTTAAAACTCAAATTGCTGCGCCCCAACAGGGCAATGTACTGAATTAGTTGTATGTAAAATGTAAAACTTCTTATTATATGTACATTGTGCAATATGAATAAATAAATAAATAAGTTGTACTGCGTCACTAACGTACGGATGTCATACGTGGAACTTGTCTTCTGAAGCCACAAATAAAATTAGAACCTGTCAATGGGGGCTAGAGAGGAGCATGCTTAACATACGGAAGATAGATAAGGTGATACACAAAAAGATAAGAATAACCACCAAAGCGATCGATGCCCTAACGTTTGCACTAAAACAAAAATAGAAATGGGCTGGTCATGCCACAAGATGCACAGACCAAAGATGCGCGAAGAAGAAGACTGCGAAAGTAACTTCGTGGAACGGCCCAACGGGGAAAAGAAGCCGAGGTAGTCCACTAAACAGACGGGAAGATGACCTCAGAAGGACAGCTGGTCCAAACTGGAGCGACTTAGCCCAAGATAGAGATGCATGGGCATCTTTGGAGAAGGCCTATACCCAATCAGGGGTTCTTGCGGACAAAACCCACTCACTATAACATTTACTAAAAATTTACTAAACTATGTTACATATAATACTTACATTTATATTTTCTTATTTGTTTCTTAATTATTCACATAGCTTAAAAAACTAAAAACTTTGTAAAAGCGAGAAATAAAAGGCTTATTTATTATTTATACTGCGTCACTACAACTAATAAAGGTAAGAAAAGACTAATTGAAATTATGACCTCGTGCCGCCCAATGACTTTCACATCCACTGGACCACCGACCTGATATATTAAAATTAAGTCACTATCATGGTCGAATAGTTACTAACTTGTAATTCTTCACATCGTTGACCTTTTGTTAATCCGAAGCCATTGAAGGGCACCTAACGTGAATATAAATATATGTATAAATACAGCTTGTTGATAAAAACCTGTTCCGAAAATATAGAACGCATGTATTTATAGTAGGTGACTTAAATACAGTATCTCTATTGTACCCTTTTAAATTTTTCAAAGACTTCAGAGTATATTGACGATCCGCAATAACATGTTGCTGAACTTAATCCTTACTATCCTTACTTATATTTATAGATCTGAAAATGAGTTTGTTTGTTTGTTTGTTTGTTCCGCTTTCACGCCGTAACTACTAAACCGATTGCTTTGAATTTTTGCAGACGTAAAGTTCGAAGTCCGGATTAAATAATAGGGTACTTTTTATCCCGGAAAAATTTGATATTCCCGAGGGAAAACAAAAGTATTGGTATAGATGGCGCTGTATGTATTGGTATGGTATATATGTCACATAGGCTACTTTTTATCCTTTCGTGACGCGAGCGAAGCCGCGGGTAAAAGCTAGTATTAAATAATCTCAACATGTCAAAACAAAGCAACTTTAACCATTTAACTGTGGGAGTCCACTGTTGTATTTTTTTATTACACGCATATGAATAATTTAATATACATACGATACACATACCAAATTAACATTTTTTACTATTTTTATCTGTCTGTCAGTTTGTACTGACTAGTCTCAGGAATAGCTGGACCGATTTTGACGGGACTTTTATTGGTAACTAGCTACTTTCGCGCGGTTTCACACGCTCTGCTCAGCTCCTATTGATCATAGCGTGGTGTTTTATAGCCTATAGCCATCCTCAATAAGTGCACTATCCAACACAAAAATAATTATTCAAATCAGACTTGTAGTTACGGAGATTAGCGCGTTCAAACAAAAAAACAAAAAACTTCCGCTTTATATAATAGTATAAGATTAGCTTATGTACTAAGAAGTAAAATAAGCTAATAGTTTTATTTTGAAAAACTGATTAAAAAATAGTTATGTCCTAAAATTCATATTCTACACGGACGAAGTCTAAGGCAAAAGGTAGTCAATAATGAAAGTAGCAATTATCTTGTCTCTAAGTAGACTCTAACGATACCCGGAGGAAGAAAGAAGACAAATAATGTATTCTCTCTGCCCATCTTGCATCACCAACTATTTCTTTGAGGGTGTTCGAATCCCACTTCTGACACGATGTTATGTTGGTGGATTACGAAATTATAGTCGGATTTATTGTACTTGGATTTATTACAATAATGTGCAGAGCGTACGACATGTACACACACCAGAGTATGACGGGTAGACAGCGACGTTACTGACATGTGTCCTACCTTATATAACACACTAGCTTCTGCCCGCGACTTCGTACGCGTAATCCCATTTTTTCCCGTCCCCGTTCGTGATTTTTGGTAAAAAGTAAAAAAAAAAATGTTGGTTAAAAAGTATCCTATGTCGGTCTCCTGGCTCTAAGCTACCTCCCTACCAATTTTCAGCCAAATCTATTCTGCCGTTCTTGAGTTATAGGTGTTGTAACTAACACGACTTCCTTTTATATATACTTAACACATTATAGTGAGGGGGCCACTACTTACTAATTAGTGATGTTGATACAGACCAAACATACATATAGAATAGAATAGAATAGAAAACTTTTATTTCAGACCGGAGTCCATAATTAGGGTTAGTAACAATTTTAACTTAAATTCTAGTGTTAGTAGGTTACATGAATTAAATTAAATTTCGGCATGGAGCCGTATCCACCTTCCCCACATCGGGGAATCCCACTGATCTACGAATACACTGAGAATGCTGTTGGTGCCGCCACGAACGCGAGCCATCAGGGACGCACATCTTTTTCTAATGATGGCGGAAAAACTATCAATATTATTATCTGCAAACATCCCTGACGCACTACATCGCCATGGCAGCCGCAGCAGCACCCTCAGTGCATTATTATACTGAACGCGCAGGTCGCTGTAGGCCCGCCGAGTGAAGCCGACCCACAGGCCGCACGTGTAAAAAGACTGACAATAGGCTTTGAAAAGGGTAACTTTAACCGGCTTCGTACAGCGCGCAAACCTGCGGGCCAGCATGTTGCAACGGACCGCCAGCGACCTACGTTCCCTTTCAATGTCACAATTGTCTTTAAGGTCTTCAGTGACCCAGTGGCCTAGATATTTAAATTTGTCCACCCTTCTCAGTGGTTCTCCACAAAGTGCTACGTCTGGGATACATGGATAAGTCAGACTGCCAGCTTTAAAAGCATTAGTTCGCTCTTAGTGACATTATATTTGAGCCCATGATTCACCGCATAGTCTTCACAAACAGCAATCAGTCGCCTCAGAGCACCGATTGATGGGCTCATCAACACCATGTCGTCTGCGTAGCTAATATTGTTAATGCACACCCCGTCAATATGACATCCAACATTGGTGCCGCTAAGCCCAACAATCAGCTGGTTTATGTACAGGTTGAAGAGTCGGGGCGAACTGAGCCCCCCTTGCCTCACCCCACACTTCAACCGATACACGTCCGAATACGAACCATTCCACTTCACGCTATTGCTTTGACTACTGTACCAGTATTTAAATATGGATACTAATTCAGATGGCAATGTAGTTTCAGATTCTAGTTTCCGCCACAAAACATCATAACAAACGAGATCAAATGCCCGTGAGAGATCTAGAAAACAAGCAAAAATAGGCGTTTTCCTGTCTGTATAGTATTGAACAGTCTGCTTGAGACAAAAGATTGCACTCTCAGTTGATAGCCCAGGCTTAAACCCGAACTGGGCATCATGTAATTCAAGGTGACTAGCCAATTGTTTATCAAGCAGACTATCCAACACCTTAGCTATGACAGTAGCCAGAGAAATGGGCCTATAATTGGTAATGTCAGAGACATCCCCTGTTTTATTTTTCACAATAGGTACTACCATTGTGTGCATCACATCATCCGGTAAGTAACCGTGACTAACGCACAGGTTGAAAACCAATGCAAGTACTCGCGGCAGGTGTCGCCCCGCATACCTCAGGTGCTCGATGCTGAGTCCATCATGACCCGGGGATTTACCCCTCTCCATTTTATTTATGATGGCTGATATCTCTTGTGCCGTAAAAATAACAGAAATTCCCCTATTGGGCACAGCATCAAACACCTGCAAAGGCTGCACACATCCAGTAAAAGGAGGTGACTCAATCTGGAAATGACGTCTAAATGCATTGGCTATATCAACCGGCTCGTGTACGCCCGCCACGCTCACCGGGGGACTCGACTTCGGATTCAAACTATTTGTTGATTTCCAAAATGAACCAAATTTCTTTTTAGTGTGATGTTTAGCTAGAATATCCATTTTTATTTGTTGTTGGTTATCTTGACAGTATTTCAAATTAGTCTTAAATATTTTTCTGGATTCGCACATTTTATCGTAAACACCACCACTAGCAGGTTTACCATAGAACAACCATGTTCGGTAACAAATCCGAGCCTCCCTGTGAGCGTCACGAACATATTTGTTCCAACCAGGAATGTACCTTTTACTATTATGACGCATCTGTTTATCTACATAAGTACGTTCGGCACCGTCCTTTAGAATTTTAATCAATCCATTATACATTGTATCTAACACTTTCACATGATTAGCATTAGAACACATTTTATGCGCACAATGCTGAAATTCATCTGGAAAATCTATTAATTTTAATTTGGAATTACAAAAGTTTGAGTATTCATTGATCTGGTCGCCATCTCTGTCACCCCATATCACTCTATTGCAAGTATAGATAGGATTCACTAGTTTAGGTGTAATTAAATGAATGTTACATTCAATATAACACTGGGTCTGACACATACCTGTGGCCAATCTTCTTTGGAAGTTGCTCTCTCGATAATCTCCTTGATGGTATTCTGCCTGGAGTTAGGATCATCCCGCCACACATAGACAGGCTGCGTGTAGTTGATGAGTTCTGTAAAATTACACAAAAAATATATAATAACTGTAAGAACTAAGACTGTATACCTAAGATATGTTTCAGCCACATATGGCAATATAATATTACTCGTTTTGAAGTACCTTAAGGTATACAGTTCGTTTACTTTTCCCCAATCTTATTTTTAAGGTAATAAATAGTAAGCAATTGGCGACGCCTATGGATACCGATGACCTTTAAGGGAATCGGTAATTGGGAATTTGGGCCTTCAGTAACCGTGGCTGTTTCGTCGTGTGAGTGTAGTTACCGGAGGACCAATTCTGCCTTATCCCCGAATCTCCAATCCTCAAATCCGACCCTGCCCCCCTTCCCTCAAAGGCTAGCAATGCACTACTATGGAGTTTCGGGTGTCCATGGGCGGTGCCGATTGCTTACTACCAGGTGGTCTATCGTTTACCAGCTTATCCCATAAAAAAAGAAAGTCACCAGCTCTCTCATTTCTTAAATTCAATGAAGCGTTTATAATAAAGGTACTATTTACGACCTAGCCATCGACTGGATATCTATAAAAAAATAGGTGAAAGTATAGAAAAGTATAAATCATTGAACATTATACTGAACACAATTACTAGACACGGTAGTCTAGACTCTGATAAAGTCTAGATATTTTTTTCTTTTCCTAAGAAAGTGTGAGCCCGTCTGTGTAGTCTAGTGTTAGTAAAGCTGATTTTAGTCTCACGCTGACCACACGCTGATCATCGGCGCCGACAACCGAAACGTATGAACTTCTATAAAGCGTTTTAAAAAACGCGTTGACGGATAAAGGTACGGCTTGGTCTTCATCTATCTAACTATATACGCGCTAAGCAAGGAGCGTTGAAGGTTAGTATGAGACTAAAATCAGCCTAACTGTGGTTCGTTAACATGGTAGTAGATGATTACACATGTGTATTGTATTCTAATATATGAGTTAGTACATTGTGGGTATGTGAACACCTAGGAATGTACAATAACAGTCGTTGCACCGTGAGGGCTCCGGATCAGGTCTATTAGAGGACACGGTGCCTCTTACAAATGCTAAGGGTGACCGCCGAAGTGGTTATAATCAGGTAATAACTCCACACTGCCTAGTCCTTCTCTCCAAAAAGCTAAGCGCCATTTGCAGGTTTCCCCCATCATCAAAACAAAATATGTGAAATAACTAAATAAGTTACGAAATATACTATGAATACGAGCTTACAAGAACATTAGCAATTCCTAATAAGTATAGGAAATGTGAAAAAAATACAAGTTGAAGTAAAGATGGCATAATCGGCAATTTGACTATTAAACGAAAGGTTTTTCTTAGAAAACAATTCAAGAACAGCTAACAATATTCTAACAAAACCATAAGAAATTCATAGAGGAAATAAAAATGAAGGCCATACCTACTCGTAAACGGAAAATAAGGTTCGAATACAGAGAATTCCATTCAATAATGCAATTTTAATCTAACACCGGCCACGACTAAAAATCTTTTAATAATGTACACACTTGCGATTCTGATTGAACTGATTCTACCTACGGCCTATAGTACACGGCGTATTTTATACGCGTAGGAGACGCGCAGATGACGCACGTATACGCGCTTCATACGAATTTCGAACGCAACTTTGTAACCTCAACCGATATACGAGGCGATCATGTAACCGCACCTCTAATGCGCGTATACGCGCTGTAGTCGCTCGTAACACACAATAAAACAATTGCAGCGCCGAAACGCGCGTTATTAGGTAATACGCGCGTCTCCTGTGCGTATCAAATAAATACTTGCAACTTTATTGCGATTGAACAATGAAAGTTGTATGCCTGTACCAACCATTCCAAATCATCTTTACTTAGAGTATATGATATGTAGCGCAAGAGGGCCTGTTCCCTGAATTCGTTTACAATGTTTACATGATAGGTAAAGAAACGAAAATGAACGAAACGGTAGAAAATGAAACTATCACTATGTGTTAGGGTTATTATTTCGCGACCCGCGACGCGGCGACTAAATCGTTGTAGACTGCGCGCAGTGAATAGATGTAGACAGACAGTGAGTAAGCCGAAAACATAATAATTTATTTAGTACTAGCGACCCGCCCCGGCTTCGCACGGGTGCAATATGTATATACATACAAACTTTCCTTAAGAATCACTCTATCTATTAAAAAAAAACGCATCAAAATCCGTTGCGTAGTTTTAAAGATCTAAGCAAACATACGGACATACAGCGAAAGCGACTTTGTTTTATACTATGTATTGATATTGATGTCTCATGAAAGTTACAATACAAGTATAAAAAAATGTGTTCAATTGCACTTTCGACTAGACATCTTAAATTATCTTAATATACGAAAGAAAACATTAAATCAAGTCTTGCATACTCGACTCCGCCTCTCGATTCAATGATTTTCGAATTTGTATCTATCAAGGCTGTTTGGACTTGACATTAAAAATGGTCTAATAACATGTCATGACTGGTTTCCGGTTTACCATGATACCTGTTTTCCTTGTTTAATTTTGAATCCTGCATTTCTAGTGGGTCTATGCTTGATTAGTTGTGATGTAGGTCACTTAAAGGGTAATCTTATACTATTATATAAAGCGGAAAAGTTTGTTATTTTTTTGTTTGTTTGAACGCGCTAATCTCAGTAACTACAAGTCTTATTTGAATCATTCTTTTTGTGTTGGATAGCGCATTTATCGAGGATGGGTATAGGCTATAAAACATCACGCTACGACTAATAGGAGCTGAGCAGAGCGTGTGAAAACGCGCAAAAGTAGCTAGTTTAAGAATATATCTGTGAGTGTGAAACTGTGAATAATCATGTTTTTGAAGATAGATAGATAGACTTATCTCTGAGTATTGATGTGACGGGAAATATTTGTGCCTTGAACGAATAGATATTTTTTTATTATATAAAGCTTGACTGTTTGTTTGAACGCGCTAATCTACGGATTTGATTAATTCTTTTATTCTTTAATAATAAAATGAATAATTCTTTTTGTATTTGGATAAACCATTTATTGAGGAAGGTTATATAATAAAAATCATTACGCTCCGATCAAAAGGCGCCGACCAGAGCGGGTGAAACCGCACCGGATTCACTAGTAATTAATACAAATTTGCTAAGTATCCAACGCTGGACACTAATTCAAATCTTCGAAAACCGAGAGAATTCGGAAAATGCAATAAAACTCAAAGCTAAGCATTTTTCCACGTCCAAAGAAATTGGGATGATGATGAATCTAATTAGTCCGTAAGTTAGGTAATGAAAAAATATTAGACACGTATTTTTGATTTTGTTATATAATAAAATGATACTTAGATAAAACAGATCAAAGTTTAGGAGTGGGGGATAAAACGTCATTATTACGTATAAAATGTACATAGAAGTGACGTCACGCGACATTTCAAATCAATATATCGTCGAAAGTATTCGTTTCTGTAAGAAAATAAAAAATACGTGTCTAATGATTTAAAATAATCTACCAGACGGACATTAAAATAAAAATTAGGCATCTACCCAATTGTCCATCAGTAAGTCTGTCAGTAAAAGTGTTCGTTCAAAATTTTATATTTATATAGGAAAGAAACGAGCAACAAATTCTATCGTTATAAGTACACTTTTGAAAAATCATGGTGTTTAAAAAAGCCATTACTTACCGAAGGCAAGTACTAGGTAATGTAGTGCCGTTAATTGCATGGTTATTAAGACATTATCGGCCATTGTCGCAGGTGATCACATGTGTTTAGACATGGGACATAGGGATAGGGCTTAGCCTTGGTTGGACCATAAGACGATAATAATAGGTCATGCCTTATCGGTAAGACAAGCACATAAAAGTTTAAGAACTATGCCTAAAACCTATCTGTACTTAAAAACGGTCAAGTGCTGAGTATCTACTGTTAACTGACATGTTAATAATATAAGCAGATGCATGAATGTGCAAGCCAATGAAGTAAGTGTAGGAGAGCCACGAATGGGGCGGCTTGATCGGAGTGATACCACCGCCTCAGAGAACACCGACATGAAATAACGCTTGCGTTCTGTTTCGTTGTGTGAGTGAGGTTACTGGAGGCCCAATTACCCCCCCCCCCCCCCTTTCCCTCCCCAGTCTCCCCAATCCCCCACAATCCTCAAATTCTCAACTCCCAAAAGACGCATGCACTTGTAACGCCTCTGGTGTTCCGGGTGTCTATAGACGATGCCGATTACTTACTATCAGGTGATCTATCTGCTCGTTTACTGGCTTATCCCATTACACAAAAGAATTGTACCAGGTGACGTTCTAAAGATTCTCTCCATGACCCATGGAATAAGAGTATGAGTTTTATATGTATTGACACAGACTAAACCTCATGGTTTAGTCTTTTACCAATATGGTGGAAGTGGTACCTATATTGTTCATACAATATACCATTTCTAGTGTATAGAATTCCGTGAGCTAAGGAAACTGCATTCCATCAGACAGTCTGTAAGATTTATTCACACCTCAGTGCCAGTGCGAAAAAAAGAATGTCTCAAACTTCTACAAAACAAGTTTTCAAAATTAGTTAATGCACAAATTAATCTTAGCACCGTTGCAACAGCCAGACAGCGAGCTAATAATTATAACAGTAATTATTTTCAGTCTAGATACTACTAAGTCTATATAATACTAAAATCATGTGCAATTTTTAAACCTATCAATCATCTTAGACAATTTCTACTTCAGACCAAACGACCCACAACCTATAATCACATCAAAAGTCTACAACTTCCTACTGCCTCTTCTCACGGAGAAGATTTGAGCAGTAATCACCACGCTTGCTCAATACGGATTGGCGATTTTAAACTTATAACTAAAAATTATAAGTCCAGATTTCCTCACGAAGTTTTCCTTCACTGTTTGTCAGTGGTGTCTAAATAATCTTAGAAAGTACATATAACTCGAAAAAAGTCACATTGGTATTTGCCGTTGGTAGGTTCCAAAACCGCGCTCTCATGCATGAGAAGCGGCCGTCTTTA